CACATAAGTCAGCACCCAGGAGAAACTAGATGCAAGCTTCCAGGTGTCCTCTCCCGGTGGAGGAGTACACGCAGCGCTTAATTCTCCCAGCAACAAGAATGTGTGATGTGTGACAACACCTACAGTGTTGTCAACCAGGAGGCTTACTGGAGCCTCGTCCAGATTTTCAGTGGGGGTCAGACGTGTAGGCATGAAGCCCCTGAGTAGCTGACCGTAGTTGCTCCGTCTCCAGCCCCTCCAGAGGTCAAACTCGTAGAGCTTGGTCCAAGGCCCCCATCACAAATCACATTGTTAGCATAAACTGTCTGGTGTGGTCTAAGGCCACAGGTATACAAAGCTACTCTTACCAAGTGGGATATTCTGCGAGCTTAGAGGTTATCTCCCGGGAACTGGCCCAGGGCCAGAGTCTTTGTAATGTGTAGAGTTGGAACACCCCAAACTTGCTGAGTCAGTCCTTTCCTGCACACCTTCTAGTCCTAGTTTGCTGAAAGTTTTTATCATGAAAGAATCTTGAATTTTTCAAAGCTTTTTCTGCGTCAGATGAGATGATCATGTGGTTTTCTTTTCTGTTATTATGGTATATTACATTGATTGATTTTCAAATGTTAAACCAACTTCACATTCCTGGGATAAACACCACTTGTCATGATGCATTGTTGTCTTTATATATTGTTAAATTCAGATTGCATATATTTTGTTAAGGGTGTTTGCATTTATGTTCATGAGAGCGTTTGTCTAATTTTCCTTTCTTGTAATTATCTGTGTTAGGTTTCCGTATCAGAGTAATGCCGGCCTCGGTAAATGATTTTGTAATTGTTCTCTCTCCTCTGTTGTTGTTCAGGTCTACTCTATCCTTACTTTAGTCCTCATCTTAGGGAAAAACATTTAGTCTTTCACCATAAAGGGTGATGTCAGCTGTAGGTTTTCTGTAGATGTCTTTTGTCAGAGTAAGGAAGTTCCTTTCTGTACACACCTGTCTCCACCTCGCTTGATTGCTCCACAGCAGTGTATAAAGGTTTCTTCATTCCTTTTTACAGCTCCATGGTACTCCAGAATTTATTCAGCCAGTTCTGTGTTTGACATAGGGATTTTATAGGGATGTTCTGACATAGGGATTGTTTCCAGGCTTTTGCCATATTAAAATTGAATTACAATATTGCTGCAATGTGTCTTGCACATACCTTTTCATATTATTGCTGTGTTTTTGGGATAGATTCGTAGGAGTGAGATTGCTGGGTTAGAGAGTAAGTAATGTAATTTTGCTAGATATTACCAAATTCCCCTCCATAGGAGTCAACACCATTTGGCATTCATACCATCAGTATATGAAAGTGCCTGCGTCTCCACAACCTGACCAACCCACTATGTCTTCAGACATTATTTTTTGCCTATCACAATAGGCAAGAAATGGTGTCTTTGTGTAGTTTTTAATATGCATTGTCTTATTATAAGATTGAGCATCTTTTCATGTTTAACAGCTATTTGCTTTGTTTTTCTGTGAACTCTCTTGTCTAGTGTACTACGAGGTTGTTGTCTTTTTTCCCTCTTTTTACTTTACTTATGGTGTTTGTTTTTTAATAAACTTTATTTTTTAGAACAGTTTTAAGTTCCCAGCAAAATTGAGCAGAAAGTACAGGGAATTCCCATATATCCCCTGTCCCCGCTCACTCATAGCCTGCCCCACTGTCAACATCCCCCACCACTTAACACTGTTTTTTATCATGCAAAACTATGTATTTTTTAAATTTTGTGTAGTTAAATTTATCAGTGTTTTCCCTTATTGCTTCTGGATTTTGAGTCCTAGTGAAGTGTTTTCCAATCCTAAGTTATAGAAGAATTCATCCATGTTTTTTTCTTGCATGTGGTTCATTTTTTATGTCTATATCTCTGGTGCATTTGGAATTTATCTTGGTGTACAGTGTAAGGAAAGGAAACACTTTCATCCTTTTCCCATGTAACTACCTATTTATCCCAGCCCCACTTATTAAATCTTTGTTGTATACTAAATATCTATATACAGTTGTCTATTTTTGAATTTTCTATTCTGTTTCATTGCTCTATCAATCTTTTCATGTTGTAATATCACACTTTCTTTTTTAGAGTTTTCCTGGCTATTCTTCTCCCCTACCTCCCACCACATTTTGTTATAAACATTTTAAAACATTTAGCAAAGTTAAATTTTACTTTGAACACCCATATAGCTACCCCCTAAATTTTACCATTTACATTTAACCATACTTGCTTCTTTCACCCGTCTATCCTTTTTATGTTCGTTTAGCCCTGCAAACATCAGTATACTTCCCTTTAAATACTTCAGCATGCAAATCACTAACTAGAGGTCAATATTTGTTTACAGATATTCTGACCATTCTTGCATGTTTCCAAATGAATTTCATAATTGACTTGTCTGACTTCAGGATGGGACCACATTACATTTATGAATTAACTTAGGGAGAACTAACATCTTTATGATGTTTCTTTTTTCTATCCAAGAATATAATATATTTTTTAATTTGTTGCAATATATTTTTGTATCTTTCAAGAATATTTTTTAGTTTCTCACATATGGATTTTGGACTTTTCTTGTTAAGTTAGTGTATGCTGCAGTTTTTGTTGTTATTGTTAGTTTTTTGTCTTTTGTTTGGGCTGTCGCAAATGGGATTTTCTCTTTCATTGTATCTTCTAACTGTAAACCAGTTACTTTTTGATGAACATTTAAGTCATTTTTTTGTTATTGTAAGCAGTGTTCTGATGAATATCCTGTAGCTATATCTTTGTGCATATTTGTGATATTTAGAATAGCAGATTGTATTTTCCAAAGATGACTGCACCCAAATATATCCCATCCTACGTGCTCTTCTTAAAATGTGATGATGTCACTGCTTCACTGAGAGGGAGAGGTGAGGTCTGTGTTCCCTCTCCTTGAACCTGAGTGGACCATTGCCACTACCTGGGCAGTAGAATATGGCGGAAATGACAGTGTATGACTTCTGAAGCTAAGTTATAAAAGGCATCGAAGCTTCTGCCATAGTCTCTGGGACTGCTCGCTCTGGGGGAAACAAGCTGCCATGCCAGTCACACACACACACAGCCCCATGAAGAGGACGTGAGGCTCCCAGCCAGCACCAACTCATGGCCATGTGAAGGACTCTCCTGGGAAGTGACTCCTCCAACCCCAGTCAAGCCTTCAGATGATGTGGTCCCAGGTGCACCCTCATGAGAACCCTGAGTCAGAACCGCTTAGCCAAGCTGCCCCCAAATTCCTGACCCCAGAAACGCTGATAGATGGTAAATGATTATTGTTGTTTCCAAGGCACTAAGTTTTAGACTGATTTCTTACTCAGCCGTAGTAACTAGAACACTTAGGAAGATTGATATTATAGTTAGTTTTGAAAATTCTTTTGTTGATGTTGTAGAGGAGCATTTCCTAAACAGCCTTTCTTGGAACACTAGTCTTATAGAAAAACTATGAAAATGATCCCTCCAGTCAGATTATTTGGAAAAGACATCCTTTTTGGAAATTCAAAATGTATTTTAGTGTATTAAAGGCTCTGAAAAGTTGTAGAGTAAAATACCCATCTAGCTTTGACTCAGTTTTCTCAGACTCAGTTGGCCACAAAAGTCCTTTCTTATGGAACATAGTGGGTAGAATCTCCTCTCCATGGAGCAATTGTTAAGACCATGGCCTCTGAGCTAGGTTCCCTGACGTCACATCCCAGCCCAGCCATTTACTAACTGTGTGACCTGAGCCAGTTTCCTAACTTCCATATACTTAAGTTTCCTCCTCTGTAAAAAGGTCATTAATACTGGTACCTACCTTATAGGGATATATGGCATTAAATAAATTTATCCATATAAAGTCCTTACAAAAATGCCCAATACATAATAAGCCCTCAATAAATGTTAGCTGGCATTAATATCATCCTTTTATGTATTTACATTGTTCTTTTTATTTATATGTCTCTGCCTAGTAATATGGAATTTGTCATAGCTCTTGTTAGCAATCTGCCTATACTTTTCATAGTTCTGTGTGTATTCCAATAAACCTGTTACAAGGCCCATTGTTTTATAGCCAAAAATTTTTCTCTCTTACTAGCCGTTTACTGACAATTATAAAGCATCCATTCATTCAACCTATATTTATTAAACACCGAATGCCAGGCACTCATCTAGGATCTAGGGCTCTGTGACAAACACAACTGATAAAGTCAAGGACCCTGCTCTCAGAGCATGCACTCCAGTGGAGCGAGACAGACCAGTAACAAGTCAGCTAGCAGGGTCATTCCAGACGGTGGTGACGGCTATGAAGAAGACACACAGATGCTGTGGGACAGAGTAACGGAAGGAGGCCTTTAGTAGATGGGAAAGTCAGAGAGGGCCTCTCTGAGTAGGTGAGATGGAGCCCGGCCCTGAAGGTGGACACTAACAGAGCCGTGGGAGGTGTCCTGAGGCAGACGCCAAGTGCAGAGGCCTTGCTTCCTAAGACAGGTCAGTTCCATCCAGTGGATAGGTAAAGATTTGTGCTTTCAGAGTTAAATTACTTATGTATTGTATATATGTACATAATGCACGTGTGTGTATTCAGCAGTGATTTTCATTGGTGTAAAACCACTGTCTTCCTGGATTTGTTGAACTTGGAACAGTCAGCTTTTGCTGCCTGTTGTCAGCATGTGGGGCGTGTTGTCAACATGTGTTGAGTGTTGTCAGTACGTGGGGCGGGCTCGTGCGTTCTTTCCTTCAGCACATACTGACCGCACCCTGCCCGCTTGCTGTGGTGGGGGAAGCATAGTCCTCACCCTGCAGACAGTGACACCAGTACCTTGTAACAGGTGTCCTGTGAGAGGTGTGTCAGATGGTCACTGGGCCCAGAGGCAGCAACTCTGCTCTCCAGTAGAGGGCAAAGAACAAGTGTGCAGGGGTCACATGTGACTCCCTTCTGTTGTCAAAAAAGAATCCTGTTGTGTAAGTAAATTATATGATTGCTAATTATTTATTTTTAGATCTAAGCTGGAACCAGAACCAAGCACAAAGACAAAAGAATCCATGCTTTCTGAGAAAGTTTCACAGAATCCTTCAAAAGACTCTGAAGAAAAGCCTGTCACGGAAGAATATCCAGGTATGAATTAAAATCAAAATCTCACCTTGCATCTCTTCCTTATGACATATTGGTAGAAATACAAAGCAGAAAGAGAGGGCACACAATCCCAGACATCTTCTGGTGTTTGTACTTGCATAGAGCAAAGGACACACGGAGGTGGCAGCCTTTTTTCTGTCACACTTGGATCTTATTGACTGCTGCTGGGGCAGGGCGGGAGGACTCCCTCAGTCACCTGGGAGCTGGCAGGATCCAGGAGAAAGGGCCTGACATCACTGTGCATCAGTGGGGTGGGGACTGGAGACTTAGAATCACGAGGAAATATCAGAGACCTCTGCTCGAGGAGTCTTGCACGTCAGTCTCAGGACCCCTGCACGCATGTGGTGCACTGTCCCAGTGATCTCGGGGCACTGACCCTGCGTGGAGCTGACCAGCCTGCCTCGGGGTGAGGCGTGTGATTTCAGCAGCCTTCCATAGCCAATTGAGCTAACAGGATAAAATGCAAGTCTGGGTTTATGTGCTTCATGTCTTCGTGTATACTAGAAGTCCCATGACTTAGAACAGCCCCGGACACACAATGGATGCTTAATAAATACAAGATCTCCACAAAGTCTGGAGACACGGGAATATACATGTTGTCGTGGACATCTTCAATCTGTGTGTCAGCCAGTACAGCCACCCTCTGTAGGGACTGCACGCTCAGTTTGCTGTGTTTCAGAGGTGTCGCAGGGGTGGGATCTTGCTTTGCATGAATCCCAGGATGATGGCACACTGAGGCCCGAGAGTCTTCCTTAGCCGCCTCTTTTGTATTATCACAATGGCTCTCATTTACTGCATGTCTCTCAGATGCTAGGCACTGTCCTGAATCTTGACAGACATTACCACCATCCTTACAGCTGCCTGCTGGGATGGGTTTCATGAACCTCTTTTTTTCAGATGAGCCTTCTGAAAGGCACTGAGAGGCTGGGTAACTTGTGGATCTGTGCTGCCTCTCTGTCTAATTTATTTCCTCTGTTTTTACAAACACGGGAATTCAGAATGCATCATAGATTGTGAGCCTGAAAGATGCCAAAGGGCTGTTCTGTAGTTGAAAACAACTTCAGTGGGGAGGGGCAAGGAGACTGACATTTAGTGCGCCCCACTGTGCTGTCACATGCCAGGGGTGTCAACAGATTGAATCTTATTGTCTTTTGAGGTGTTACTGTCATCATTTTATGTGTGAGGAAACAGAGCTTTGAAGAGATTATATAACCTGTTCAAAGTCAGACAAGAAAGGGGTGGCCCTGGGATTCCAGGGCAGTCACTCTCTTTGTAGAGCCTGAGCCCATCCCATAGGCCAGAGGCCCTGCACAGCTCCTGTCTCCACTTGTCCCCAACGAGGGAAAACCCCAACCTCACCCACAAAGTAGCAGGGCCCTGCTTTTCATAAGACAGGACGTAGGGATATCATGTCTGAATTTACTCATGCCAGACACAGCATACTCATTTACTCATTCATACATTCATTCAAGAAATATTGTTAGGACTGATGAGAGTGGGGAGAAGCCGGTGCCAATTCTTGGGTCCCAGCAGAGGGTCGATCTCCTGTGAGGAGATTGAGCCAGTCTGCCCTTGTGAGGCCCCGAGCCCACACTGAGGACTGTTGTGCGGCTCCTGTACTGGGTGCTGGGGATACAGCAGTGAGAAGAAAAGTAGGGAAACAGGTGTCATGGAATAGTTACACAGATGGGTGTACAATCACCATGTGAGCTCTGAGAGAGGGGTCCTGGTAATGGGAGAGACCTGGCCTGTCAGAGAGGTCGGAGACCTTGATGTTTCAGTAAAGACCCCAGGGCGGTGAGCAGTGAGCCCTGTGGCTTTCTTGGGGAAGAGTGTCGCAGGCAGAGGGAGCAAGAAGTGTAGAGGCCCCAAGACAGGAGCATGCCTGCATGGCTGAGAAGCAGCTTGGAGGCTGGAGAGCAGGGGAGAGAGCAGAGGGACACGAGGCAGGAAGCACCAGGGCACTAGGTCATGGAGGGCCTTCCAGGCCGTAGGAGGACTGGGGCTTGTCCTCTGGATGAGGTGGAAAGCTGTGGAGGTTTGCACAGAGGACTGTCACAGCTGACTATGTTTGAGGAGAGTTCCTCTATTCAAATAGGACATCAAGAAGAGAAATAGGGACACTTAGGAGGCTGCTAAAGTTACCCCAAAACAAGGTAATGGTGCACTGTACCAAGCATGGTAGCAGGGAAATGGGGAGAAGTGGTGGAATTCTGGGTGTATTTTGAAAGTAGAGCCACAGAATCTGCTTTCTGGATGTGGGGCCTGAGAAGGAGAACCGTCAAAGAAGGCTGCAGGGTTTTGGCAACTGGAAGAAGGTTGCTGCCCTTTACTGAGATCTGGGAGACTGTGGAGGGGCAGGCTGGGGACTGGTTAGATCAGGAACTCAGTGTGGGCCATGTTCATCCTGAGATGCTGGCAGAGATGTTGAGTAGGGAGTTGGGTTTATGAGTCTAGAGGTCAGGGGACGGGTCTGTAGATAGCATGGATCCCAAGAGGCATGAAGGTAGATAGAAAGATGGAAGACTAAGCCCTCCCAACACTTCCCGTCTTCCCTGCTGTGTCTTTCTCCCCAGCACTTACCATTACCCTTCTGTGTGTTTTACTTATTTATATTCTTTATAATCTGTCTCCCCTACTAAAGTGTTAAGTTCCATGAGGACAGGAATTTCTGTATTTTATTCACTGCTGTAACACTGGCGCCCAAAACAATGCCTGGCGTATAGGAAGTGCTTAATAAATCTAAAACAAATGAAGGGGGCTGGCCCGGTGGCATAGAGGTTAAGTTCGTGTGCTTTACTTTGGCGGCCCGGGAGTTCGCAGGTTCGGATCCTGGGCGCGGACATGCGCACCGCTTATCAACCCATGCTGTGGCAGGTGTCCCACAGCCAATCTTCTCAGCAAAAAGAGGAAGATTGGCAACAGATGTTAGCTCAGGGCTAATCTTCCTCACCAAAAAAAAAAAAAGAAAAGAAAAAAAATGAAGGGAGAAAAGGAGGAAGACTCCATTTGGAATAGTGATTGTTGGGCCGGCCCTGTGGCTTAGCGGTTAAGTGCGCGCGCTCCGCTGCTGGCGGCCCGGGTTCGATCCCGGGCGCGCACCGACGCACCGCTTCTCTGGCCATGCTGAGGCCGCGTACCACATACAGCAACTAGAGGGATGTGCAGCTATGACCTACAACTATCTGCTGGGGCTTTGGGGGAAAAAATAAATAAATAAAATTATAAAAAAAAAAAAAGAATACTGATTGCTCTTAGTTGCTGTGGAAGTGTTTCCTCACACAGATGGAACCTACTGCCTCTGAGAGGTAGAAAATAAATGGTCAGAGTGAAAGAGTGCTGTTCCTCACGGTTTGTATTTTTATCTTATAGTCAGTATTTGCATGTTTATAATCACCAGGTTATCTCCTGACTTAAAGCAGCCCACCCAGTATTAAAGGAGAACTCTCCAGTTTAGTTCTGGTCAGCGTGTAGGAGACAGAATGGTATGATGAAGAGTGTCTCTTTGGAGGCAGTCTAGATCCCAGCTCCAGCACTTACTGGCGCTTCTGAGCACCAGTTCCTCCATTTTTGAAATGAGGGCAGTGATACCTGCCTTTCAGGGATGGGAGAGGAGAAACGGGAGCCATTAGTGTTGCCCTCGCCGGCTACACTCCTCGCACCTTGGACGCTTCCCCCACCTGGTCCTGACACGTCTTTCTGAGACGCCCTATGGCCAGTCCTCTCCTGCCTGTCCGCCTGCTTCCTGGCACCTGCAGCTGCTGACTCAGCCTCACTGTCCCCCATTCCACCAGACCACCTCCCCCTTCACGGTCATTCGATGATGCTTCTTACCTAGTCATCTCTTCCTTGGTTACGTGGAGTCCCAAAGGGTAATAAAGTCTGAAGTGTCACTTATTAAAAAGATACACCATTTACTGTATGTAAAAAATCTTGCATATATAACAGATTTTTTTATAGTTCATTTTGTTTGTTTTTCCCAAAAGAAAGCTATTGTCATTGCTGTATCCCACCTTTATCTATTTCCTGTTCATAGAGGTGTGCCATTCCTTTCCCCTGAGTGGAAGAGAAGGAAAACACATGGTGGTTATCATCTCCCTCTTTCTTTGTAGCCATCCTAGTAGGCATGAAGTGGTGCCTCATTGTGGTTTTGATTTGCATTTCCCTGATTATTAATGGTGTTAAGCATCTTTTCATGTGCTTATTGGCCATCTGTATGTCTTTCTTAAAGAAAGTTGTATTCAGATCCTTTGCTCATTTTTAAATTGAGTGATTTGTCATTTTATAATTGAGTTGAAAGCGTTCTTTCTGTATTCTGGATGCAGATCCCTTATCCGATATATGATTTGCAAATATTTTATCCCATTCTCTGGATTGTCTTCACTTTCTTGATGGTGTCCTCTGAAGTACAAAAGCTTTTAATTTTGATGAAGACCAGCTTACCTAATTTTTCCTTTGTTGCTTGTGCTTTTGGTGTCATATCCTTATTAATTGTTTGTCAAATCTGAGGTCAGGAAGATTTACCCCTCTGTTTTCTTGTAAGAGTTTTAGAGTTTTACCTCTTACATTTAGGCCTGTGGTCAATTTTAAGTTAATTTTTGTATCTAGTGTGAGGTAAGGGTCGAGCTTCATTTTCTCAGACATGGATATCCAGTGTTCTCAGCACCATTTGTTGAGGAGACTGTTCTTGGCACCCTTTGTCAAAAACCAGTTGACCCTGGGGGCCAGGCCTGTGGTGTAGTGGTTAAGTTCGGCACACTCTGCTTCGGTGGCCCAGGTTTGTGGGTTTGGATCCCAAGCGTGGACCTACACCACTCATCAGCCATGCTGTGGCAGCAACCCACATACAAAATAGAGGAAGACTGGCAACAGATGTTAGCTCAGGGTGAATCTTCCTCAGCAAAAAACAAAAATCAGTTGGCCCTGGACACATGGTTTTATTTCTGGATTCTCAATTCTATTCCATTGATCTATATATGTGTTTATCCTTGTGCCAGTACCACAGTGTCTTGATGACTGTGGCTTTATAGTAAGTTTTGAAATCAGCAAGTGTGAGTCCTCCTACTTGGTTCTTCTTTTTCAAGATTGTTTTGGCTACCCTGAGTCCCTTGCACTTTCTCATGGATTTTAGAATCACCTTGTCAATTTCTACAAAGAAGTCAGCTGAGATTCTGATAGGGAATGCATTGAAACTGTAGATTAGTTTGGGGTGTTGCCATCTTAACATTAATTCTTCTGATCTGTGAACTTGAGATGGTGTCCCATTTATTTAGATCTTTTTAAGTTTCTTGCAACAAGTTTTATACTTTTCAAAGTATAAGTTTTACACTTTTGTTGAATTTATTCCTAATACTTTATTCTTTTCGATGAATAAAGAAATTGTTGCTTTTCAGATTTCATTTTTGGATCGTTCATTGCAAGTATAGAGAATAAAATTGATTTTTATATATTGATTTTGTATCCTGCCACCTTGCTGAACTCATTTATTACCCCTTTTTTTGTGGATTCCTTAAAATTTTCTGTGTACAGTATCAGGCAGTATGGGAATAAAGATACTTTTACTTCCTTTCTCATCTAGATTTTTATTTCCTTTTCTTTCCTAATTGCCCTGGCTATCTTAGCCTACCTACTGATTGACTTTCAGTACTACATTTGAACAAGAATACTGCCCAGTCCTTAGTGATGAGTAATGGATCTCTTCTTAGCCGGCTCCGCAAACTAACATAAGGTATGCCATTCATGGAGCACCTACTGCAGGTGCCAGACACTACAAGGCCCTTTCTGTGCTAGCCCACGTAATGCTCACAGCAGATCATGGCCACATGAGACCACAAGAAAGCAGAGGCTCAGAGTTTAAATAAGTTGTCTAAGGCCACAGTGAGGGACAGAGGCCAGGCTGTGAGACCACGTTAGTTTCACGCCCAAGTCTCTGGCCCTTCCATGACAGAAGAAGAGACGAGATGGAGGCAGAGGCCTGATTATACAGGCCCTTATAGGCCATGGTAAAGGTTGGGCTTTGATTCTGTGTATATGAGAAGCCCCCAGAGGTTTTTAAGTTGAGAGTGACAAGATCTGGTTCACATTTTAAAACCTCTCTCATGACTGTGTGGAGTTGGCGTGGAGTGAGAAAAACACGGAAGCAGGTGGACTTGTTAGGAATCTGTTGCAGTAGTCCAGACTAAGATGACAGTGTCTGACACGAGGGCGGCAGCAGTGGAAATGGAGATGGGAGAAGTGCCCAAACTCCGGTCATCATTTGGAGCTGAAGATGAGCTAGTAGGTAGGACGTGAGATGTGAGGGACAGAGAGGAATCAAGGATGACTTCTAAGTTTGGGGCTTGAGCAGCTGGGTGGACTGATATGAGGAAGGCAGGAGGAAGATGAGGTTTGGCAAGAAGGCTGGGAGGAGTGAGCAGGGAATGGAATCAAAATTCTGGTCTACATTAGATTTGAGGTGCCTGTTGGATTTTCAGGCGGAAACAGTGAGTCACTTGTTGGAGTGAGCCTAGAGCTCAGGGAAGACCCAAGGGTGGAGACATTTGGGAGTCCTGGGCAGGGTGATTTAGAGCAACCGGCCTGCATGCGTCACCTAAGGAGAGCATGGGGGGCAGGGAGGAGCCTGTGCCCGACTTCTGGGGTGCTGCCCTGTTTTCTAGGGCCTTTGACATTTCATCTCTCTCCTGACCTCAGTGTTGGTGGATAAATCTCGTTCCCCCACACCTAGCTATTCCCCCTTAGGGGTTGTGTGTCTGCCCTTTACTGTGTGCCTGTCGGAGGACAGGCACAGGTTCCTGTGCGTGGACATTTTGTTAAGTTTATCTGCAGTTAGCAGAAGGATTTTTTTAAATCTGGGCTATGTGGTATCCCTTATCTTTTCTTTTCAATTTTTTTCATTTCCCTTTTGAAACATGAGCTGTAACTTAGACAAAAAATACTTCAGTATAGGACTAAGTTGGTATAGTTCTAGGCAGATGATGGTTTCTTGCCTGTTATACCCCTGTTTTTTTAAAAGGCACTAGTTTTGTTACTGTTTCATTTAGTCAACAGTATTGAGCACCTCCGTGGTCACGGCTGACCTGTCCATATCTGATGTTTAGGCCTTTTTCTTTCATATTCTTACTCAGCCGGGATGTGATTTTCATGTACCCATTTGTAATTGGTTTCCCCCAGCGTTAAGATGGGTATGGTTATTTGAGAATACTTCTTACGCTTCTTCTCAAATGAGCCATGGTTCTTGCTCTGAGGGAGCTCAGAGTTGACAGGGAGGATAAGATTCCAGCCCCTGAGAAAGTGAGTAGTGCCCTAAGAGAGGGCACATGTGGGAAGGACAGAGTTCACTCAGAGGGTCAGGGGGCTTTAGGGGGAGGTGCCCCTGAGAAATGAATCTAGACTTGAAAAAACGGAAGCTTAGAATGTTCTAGACAGAGGGAACAGCATGAGTTAAAAACTCAGAGGCCAGAAAGCATGGAGCAACGTATGGGATGTAGTCAGTAAAGAAAACACTTAGAGGTGAGTGAAGCCCATGAAGGGGGGGAGTGGGAATTAAGGTCTGAAAGGCAGGTGGAGCCAGACCGTGTGGAGGGCCCTGAATGCCAGGCCGAGGAGTCCGGACTTGAGTCTCTTGGCATTGGGACGCGCTGGAAGTCTGGGTGCAGCACTGGTGTGGGCAGCGCCGTGCTTCAGGCTGATTCTTACGGCAGCAGGTCAGGATGGCTCCAGAAAGCCACAAAGGTGAGCATGTTGAAGAGTTTGAATTCTCACAACAAACTTTCCATGCTAGCTCAGAGCTAACTTATGCTGGGTTCTGGTGTGAACAGTGTTTCAGTTTCTAGCTTTAGTGTTCTTATCCTTCAAAAACAAAAAAGTAAAAGCTTGACATCGATACCATCATGAGGAAAGTAGGAGACAGAGGACTCGAAGGTCAGAAGTGGCATGTATGAAAAGTACAGGTGTTCCCATCTCAGAAAACACCACCTCAGTTTCTAAGGGTGCTTTCAGCCTGTCTTTTATAAATGTGTCTTTTATTTATAAATTATATATATATTTATGTATATATTATATAAAAATTATATATAAATGTCTCTTATAAATATGGTAATAGTTCTGGCAAAAACAGCCATTTTCTTAAACTTGCACTAAGTTGTGGATGACATGGAGTTTTCTTGTGATGATGTATCCCAAATAACCGTGCCCTGTACACATGGTCTGCCTAATCTGCTTTCTCTAAATTGGTGCTATCATTATGTCCTTTTCCCTTATCAGTCTCAGAACAAAAACTCTGGACTTTTGCCCCTTTTGAGGGGCTGAGATCAGCTACTGGAAATTTACTGAGATTGAGGAAGAAAAGAAAAAGAAGCACTATTTGCCTTTGAGTACGTGGCAACCTACTGACAAGCCCAGAGGCACTGCTGAGACATCAGACACAAAGTCGCCTTTAGAAACAGAGACCCCATTACAGTCTCCACCACAGAGCTGTCCCTTTCACCCACTCCCCTGCTCCCACCCACCCCTCTTAGCCGTGCAGGCCTCTGTAACCTGGTCCTGGGTGCCCAGTCCCTTTCTAAGAGCCTGTGCTAGTGGTACATTTCATCGAGGATCCATCATGTGTTTATGTTGATCATGGTCAAAAAGGTCTCTGGATTAAAATGTTGATCACTCCCAGTTGGCGCTTCATGTCCAGGTATCTATCCTGGAGTACAACAACATGCACACAAAGCATGGACTGGCACACGGTACCACTACACTAGTGAAAAACCCCAAACAACCAAAGGTTTATCAGTGGAGTTACGGTTACATAAAGAATAGTGTAGCCTTACAGTGGAATATTATGCAGCATTTTAAAGGAATGAGGTAGATCTGTGTTGATGATGTAGGATGATCTCCAAGATACATTGTTAAGTCATAAAAAGCAAGTTTTAGAACAATATGTTACCACTGATATCTTTGTGAAAAACAAACCACCACACACAAAACTATATTATTATTTCTGAGTTGGGGTTGGTCAGGGAATTGCATATCTGTTTGTATGTGCATATACTTAGTCTATGAAGCTACATCAAAGCGATAACAGGGATTACTTCTGGGAGAGGAATAGGATTAGGGAACGGTGTGTCATTTCCAGTAGTTATTTTTTTATATATCATATTTGTTTTTTACAGTGAAAATACCCATATTTGCAGTCTTTGAAAAAGAGAGGGAGGGGTGTGAGTGTGTAAGTTTTGAAGTAAAAGACACCTGAAGGCTGATCCTGAAGAATATCCATTTGTTTTGCAGCCACTGCTGATTTCACTGCTGCACTGAGACTGCGTAGGTCCCTCTACCTGTGCTCCTGTGCGCGCGCGCACACACACAGACGCATGCATACACACACACATATGCATGCACACACAGGTCTAAACACTGGAGAAGAATCACGCCGCCCTGCCCGAATGTCAGCTGATGGACAATCAAATATGGAATAAGCTGTAAGTTTCTGTTCCGTCTCATAAACCAGCCTATTCTAAAGTGAATATTTTGCCTTCTGTCTATTTTTAACAGAAACGATTCCGGCCGAAGCACAACCTGAATTGAGAACCTGGGGAGATGGCAAAGGTGAAGATGAGTTATCCCCAGAAGAAATACAAATGGTAATGCTATTCTCTGCCTAGTCATGTATTTGTAACTACTTTTAGTAAGAGTATTTCATTGAGTAGGAGGTCATCCTACATGCCCTTGCCCTGATTTTTATACCGAGTTTTTAAAATTATAAATAAATATTTTAGATACATCTTTTCCACATAGTTTCCTCATTCTTAATTTGCTTTTCATGTTTTAAATTTGCAGTAGCATAATTAAAGAAGAAATGGCCTAAGAATACTGTTACTAACGTTAGCTGTCTTTTCAGCGGAGTAAAGTAGTCTTCGAGGCTAAATGGGTCTTTATGCTTGCTGCTGTGGTGCTTTTTAATTGTTTGAATGGCTGGTGTTGTGCTGATGTGAAGAAAGCATAAGGAACAACTGGAAGATGAGGAGTGATAGCTTAGCTGCCGATACAGCTCCTGCTGGTTACCTGTTCCCTGGTTGCTGACTGTTGCAGTTTGTCATCCCCGGGTGGGTTTCGAAAGGAAAGGATAAGTTTGGCAAGAGCCCCTGCCAGCTCATTTCCAGCAGTGTCTGTGCACAGCTCACCTGGACATGGGCACGACACAGCTAAAGGGAATTCTCCTACCTGACAGATGCTTCCTAGGTCTGCCCACGTAACACTGTCCTCTGGCAGAGCTGACAAACTGGGTCCCACATAGTGTTCTTGCCAGTGGCTGTACGTGACAAATGATGGCACCTTAATTTGTGCAGCAGTTTATAGTGGGAAGAACTTTTTAGTACTCATTTTTTCTAGCATACTCTTAATAATCACACTAAGAGGTGGTGGGGCCTTACCGTCTCCTTTTAACTTAGGCAAAAAGCAGTAAAGTGTCTTGCCCAAGGTCCTCTAGTTAATAAGTGTTAGAGCTTATTAATAATCAGGTGGTAGATTTCCACCCCAAGTCTCCTGTTCAAGAAGGTAAGAAGTAGAGCATCGAGCAAAAGCTGTGTCGAGCAAGAGAGGAATCCACTCTTCTCCCAGCCTTTTGAGCCTGCAGACTGAGGCGTTTGTGTTGCCAAGCTCTTCTCTTCACTCTTGTCTTCATATCTTGCAGGAATCAAATGTTATGGTCTCAGAGAGGCTTTCCCTGGCCACCCAACCTGAAGTCGCCCCCAGCCACTCTGTCCTTGTACCCCTCCTCACTCCTCTCTCCCTCCACTAGAATACAAGCTCCGTGAGAGCAGCATCTTGTCTGCTCTCATTGCCTTATTCCCAGAATAGTGTTTGGTAACTATTTGTTGAATGGATGAGTGACTCTGAGTATAGTATAAAGCTATAGGTTGTTTTAAGTGGTAAAGCAGGATCATCAGCAGGAACTACTAGAATATTCTGTCTAGTTTTAAGTTATTACTATTTATACTTATGAACACCTTCTATATGCCAAGCCTTTTACATATGTTGTCTTGTTTAATCTTCATACCAACCCAGTGAAGTAGGATTCCCCTCTCATACAGTAAGAAAACAAGGCACAAAACTTCCAAAGCCCTCCCAAGGTCACAGAGCCAGTGAGCAACCGAGACACGCTCTGTGCCCTAAGCCCTGGCTCCACACCCTGCGCTTTTTCCCCATATCCCAGCTTACGCGAGTCCCGGTGGGGTTAGTGGCCTCGGTGAGTGTAGCTGCACAAGAGCTGTGTGACACGCTGACGTGGCAGCCTGGCAGAGGAGCCAGCCAGCCGTTCAGGGGCCCGCTGCGTGGTGATGCAAACGCAGGGCTGCAGGCCGGGCCCTGCAAGGGAAGCCAGGTGCACGTGTCTGCTCTGTTGAACATTGGCTGTCAAGGGCAGAGAACTGGCTTCAGAATCCTCTTGCTCTCCCGACTTCCTGTTTCTTCTCCAAGCCTGAATGAAGGACTGAAACACCTATAGCACTGACAGTGGGGCTAACGACTGAGTGGGCTGCCTGAGGTGCATGCCTCACAGGGCCAGGCACACAGGGGGCACCTGTAATTGAGTTCTCTTGGCCCTTCTCCTTCAGAGTGACACGTTGTGCAGAGAGGCAGAACAGCTGTCCCCTGCTCAGGGTGGAAGAGACTGGGCATGCTTGGGCTTTTGGGTCACAGCTGCACGCGTGCAGGGAAGGACTGTAGTGTGCATGCTACACTCAGGGCAGGATCAAAGGGTCATGCAGAGTGGCAGCTGCAACTCCATGGAGTTTTATACATATTTTATACACAATTCGGTTTCACAGTCATTTATCCACCTAGATGAGTGGTTTCCCTTTAAAAGTATCACCTTAGAAGCTTGAAACTGATTCTAGTGAAGTACTATTAGCCATACTTTCCTGGGACTTCCTTTGGGGGTGCTACCTGAAAGCCTGTGGTACTTTCCTTGGAATAATAAGCAGAGCTACCTTGTTCTTCATAGACAGAAGTAATTTGGAGCGTGGGAGGTAACTCAAATACCTTAAAGTGGCCTGCCAGGCCCCTGCCTTCCTCTCCAGCTTCTCTCATGTTCCAGAATGCACCCTCTGACTTTGAGTACGTGCTCAGTGCTCACCAGACCCAGCAGATGTGTGACCTGGAAGCCTCACAGTGTAGAGGTGGCTAGAGGAAGATGGCAGCATGGGTTCCAATTAGCCGCTGTTGCTGCCCAATCCAGTGGAGAGATGAGGAGGGCCTTGGCCGGAGAGTGGCAGTGAAGGCCGAGATGAGAGAGATGTCGGTGGAAATGGACTGGACTTGGTGATCCATTGGAGGGCAAGAGGAGTGTGAGAAAGTGTGAGAAGGAGAAGGAGCCTGGAGCTTTCTAATTTGGGTAAACAGGATGCTAGCAGTCAGGAGAAGGCAGGGTACACAGAAGGTGGGTGGGCTGGGGCAGGGCGGGAGATGATGAATTTCATTTTGGACAGGTGTGAGTGTAAGGTGCCTGTGCGACATCCCTGGGAGGTGTCTAGTGGGTGGTGGGATCTCGGGCTGGGGGCTTGGGCTAGAGATTCGAAAGTGGGAGGCATCTTCCTGCTGGTGTTTCAAACAGCGTGTACAGGGGGGAGAAGAGAAGGGCCAAGGACATGACCCCAGGGACACTCCACTAGAGGGCAGGCCAAGGTGGAGAAGCCAAGTGGAAGCAAGGAACAGTTAGATCATACTCCTTTCTTATAGCCAAATGATGGCAAAAGTTTCTTAAAATATCATAGTTTTTCTTCAGTTTATACAAAGTAATTTTATTAATGAAAATGTCATGTTCCTCCAAATGATGTAACCTGACCACATATCTTTGCTAGAGATAAAAATGTGTATAGCGCTCTCTCTTCATTAGGAAAGAATGCATTTGTATTTAAGTAGAATTTACCTTCTGTTTAGGACTTTTTTTTTTAATGCCCTGCGCTACTCTTTCTAAAGGTATGATACTAGTTGTTTGCCAGAGGATTTTGCCCTTCTCCTGTAGGCAGTGGCGAGTAGCAGAGGTTTGTTAGCCTTTGCAGATGCTTGACTTAGAAGCCTCTAGGCACATGGAGGGTGGACCAGAGGAAGGCTGGCAGCAAGTGCGCCTATTAACAGCTGATACTCAGTCCCAGTGAGGGATGACGGAAGAACATGGGCTTTGGGGCTAGGCAGAGTTGGTTATGAATTCTTTTTGTATAACTTACTGTCTCTGTAATTTGGGCAAGAAAATTAGCCCCACTGAACTTCCATTTGGTAAGAATCAGCAACCCCACAGAATTGTCGGGAATGCAGTAATGTATGTAAGGGAACCCGGCAGAGTGCAGGCCACATAGCAGCTGCTCAGCCAGTGTTGGCTCCTCACGCTGATAAGCTGTTGCTGTGGCTGTGCCTTCACTGCACATGTGCAGGTGTGATTTAGCTAACGTATATGAAAAACAAATGTTCATTTCATAAGGCTCTTCTTTCTAAAAGGACTATTGATGCACCACACTTCCATTTCATTGTACTGTCGTAGCTGAATCATTGTCTAAAATCATGCCAATGACCATTCCCAATAATACTAGTTATTTCGGCTTTGCAGTATCAGTGACTAATCAGAACCGGCAAGACCTCCCTAATTTTTATTGCGTTACTGCAAGTGGATTGGGCAGAAGGCTGTAATGTTCAGTATTTTTATGACAAGCTATTTAATGTTCAGTTAACTTCTTTCTTAATTAGGAATAATAGCTAAGTACCATATCTTCTAGTCTGACTAACCCAAATCTTATTTAAAAGGCTCAACACTGGAAAGAAGAGAAAGAAATACTATGCTATTGGTTTTAAATTGGAAAGTGTTGTAGCAAATTGTGATCATAATTCATAATCAGTGTTTTGGAATTTTTCCTCAGGGTAAAATAATGAATTAAGCCCTATAATAGCAATTTAATTCATTATTTCACCCATAGGAGCAGTTGTTACATGTTCCAAAATGGTTGCAGAATATTATGATTTGCACAGTAAATTTCCATTTACAATTCATGACACAGGTATATTAATACCTTTGCGTTAATATAAGCAGATGTTTTGTGGTCAGGCTGAGTGGAACCAAATTGTTTTCTGATGTTACATTGAGAAAATACCTCCTTTTCTAAGCCTACATTCATTTTACTTGCCTCAAGTGAAACCACCTGCATTTATTGCTGTATTCTGTGGGATAGTTTTTAAAGACATGAATGTGACTTCTGTCCTTAAATCCTCATGAAAGGTGTCCTTGGCCCCTGGAAGCAAGGCCTGCCCTCGGTGGCCAGGCTCAGCTCATGCATTGTTGGTAGAATCTGAGGGCCACACGAGAGCTGGGGTCCAGACCCTGGGGAGGTCTGGGGCATGGGTGGGGATCAAGGTGAGGGTCGCAGACAAGGGTAAAGGTGTTTGGCACAGAAAGAGCACACCTGGAAGAGCCCACAGAGCCCTGGGTGGTATAGGCTCCTGAGCCAAGCGGGCAGACTGCTTTCTAGGCCGAGCCGCTGTGGGTTCCAGCCCTCTGTGGGTTCCTGGTCTTTGGTTCAGTTAGCTGCTCTTGGCTCTTGGCAATGCAGAAACTTCTCCTGGCCTCCTTTTATACTCAAAGGCTTTTGTGGGAGTGATTTTCTTTTTAAAACTATAGTAAAGAGGATTACATTAGAAAAGGGTTTTTGTAACAATGTATTCGCAGTGTGGATTTGTATCCTTTAAACCAGATTATAAACCCTTTTGTGGGGCCCTATTTGAAAGTCTAACTGACTTCTAAAGGGAATAAAGCAGTTAAATAGTATTGCCTAACATGCGTATAACACACACCGTGTGCCAGGTACTGCTTCTGAGCGCCTCAGCGTTCGTTAATTTATGCCATCCCACGTGGTAGGGACTGTTGCTGGCCCCATTTTACAGAGAGCTCCCCAGTCCTAGACTCTTAAATATGAGGCCTACCCCTGTGGTTGGGGGGCCGGGGGAGGTTGCTGGGGGCATTAGTCTGCACTGAGGGAAAGCATTGTATTCTGCTGTGAGACCTAGACAGTGTGGAGCGTAATGGGCCATGGCAGGGAGCCCAGAGCAGCAGGCTGGCTGCTGTCGTGCTCATAGGACGCTGCTTGCCCACCTTACCCGTCTTCTAGGCATCATCCTCTTTTCAGTGGCTCACGTAGGTGGACAAAGTGTTGCGTGGACTGCAGCGGGTTTGCCTTCCCAGGGTCTATAGGTGCCCCTGTCTGTGGTGCTGACGTGGAGACCAGGCTTCTCCTTCAGCACTGCACCTTGTGAAGTCTGTGTCTTCACACAGACACCAGCTGCTGCAGCTGCCGTGAGCCCCAGAAGATGATGCTGAGTGCACATTTCTTGTGCCTGAGAGAGTGAAATGACCAGGAGTCACAGTGGCCCTCTGGAATTTCAAACTGACGGGTGCAAGGGGCCTTCCAAGCCTTTAATGACTCATTTGGCATATACAGAATCTGACTCCAGAGAGAAGGAATAATAATAGTTAACATTTAGTGAGAGCTTACTATGAGCCATGCACTTTGGTAAGCAACTTACACATGTTAGCATGTCTTCCTCCTAACGACTCTATTAAGTACTATTATTATCCCAATTTTAGTGATGAAGACAGAGGCGCAGAAAGGTTAAGCTACTTGCCCAAGCTCATACAGCTTAGGAAGTGAAGGAGCCATCCCTCCCCACCCTCAGAATCAGGCAGGAAAGGATAAAACTCACCTTAGACTCACTCTCAACTTAAGAACTCATAAGTTCACAAAGAGAAGCTGACAGGCCAAGGTCAGTGAGTGGTCCAGGGTCACCCGTGGAGTCCCACAAGTCTCCTGGCATACCCACCACCTACCCCTGCCGCCTGGCATTTGCTGCCCCTGCCCTCCTCAGCAGATGAGAGGTGAGGTGTACAGGTTTGCCGTTGAGACAGCATCAGAAACCATCCTGAAGCCTGGTGCAAGCAAATGTTGTCAGCAACCTGGCCATTACCTACTCTGCCTGAGCCCTGCCAGATCTCATTGAGTGGCTGCCTTGTACTTGGCTGTAGGAAACAGGTTTTGTTGTTTTAAAACAGCAGCTTCATTGTAACTCCGCCCTCTGAATGGAGGCTGCTCTCCATCAAGCTCCTGGCCTTTGGCAAACATCTCTCTTCAGCGGGTATCGCTGCTTGATCCCTTGAGGCATTTGTTTCTCCCACTTCCTCCAGGGTTGGGTATTTCTCAGGTGGCATCAAGCCCCCAAGGGTTGGAAGGAAATCAGAGCCAGAATGCAATCCCACTCCTGACCGCTGCTAACAGGAGCCCTCCAGAAGTAACAATTACCGAGAGGCCTGAAATTCGGAAGTGCAGTGTGATGCCACATGCCCTCAGGTTGGGGGGAAACAAAGAAAGCTTTGTTCCCAAGGAACACTCCAGTAATAAATCACGTTGAACCCCTAGTTAATCTTGTTTAGCAACAGTTTAAAAGCATAAAAGGACTGTGGATTTAAAAGGTTAGCGCCATATTTTGTCATTACAAAAATTCAAAGAAAATGCCCCCTACCAAAAAAACACCAACGACCTGAGTAGCACCTGAGAGAATTAGTCCAAGTGAATTAGCACCTACATGCTGAAGTAACTGTATCTTTCCTTCAGTACAGGACTTGTAAGTAACCGTTGAGTTGACAGTTAACAGAACTGATGCTTTCAAACTCAAAAGTGAAATTTTTATTCTCTTAAATAGCCTTTTTGATGCATAATTAGATGGGCCATTATGGTACCGTGTCAGTAGCCAGCGAGACAGCCTGCCACTGGTTGAGGTGGCCCTGCAGGGAGTTTCCCCAGCACGTCCCCTCCAGAAGCTTTGCCAACTCACCCGTTTTCTGACCCAGTATGTCTGGAATGGAGTGGAGCCCTCTTTATGTTTTGATGAGCAGCTGGAGCTGAGAAGCGTCAGGCCCTGCGCTGGGCTGGGGGTCCAGAGAAGAAAGACCACCCTGCCCCAGGAGGGAAGACAGGCCCCTGAACAAGTATGAGAAGTGGAGTGATGGAGTCAAGGACAGGGGAACTTTTCAGAAAGAGAGAGGGCATGATGGAAGGTGATTAAATCTGCCCTGATGTGTCTGGTACTAATAAGGTGCCTACGCTGGGTTTTGAGGGACCATCCGAGTTCCCCAGCCCTGGGTAAACCCATCCTAGGCTGAGAGCTATCCTATGCAGACATGAGGTGGGGGATCGCAGGAGATGCCCACAGAGGCGGGCAGTGGCCAGGTCGCGGGAATACTGCACCTTCGATCTGATCTGTAGGGCGAGCACTGTGGCGTGACTGGCGTTTTAGATCACTTTGACCAAGGAGTGGATGACGGATTGAAGGAGAGCAAGAGATTATGAGGGTGGAATTTAGACGATAGGAAAGGAATGAATACAGTGAGTTGTCAGGTGAAACTGGCAGGCAGGGAGGGCGCCAGCGTGGAGCGCAGGGCTGAGGTGCCTAGGGGAAGGGCTGGAGATGAGAAGCACTGTTGAGGCCCTGCCCAGAGGAAGAGATGCCTCCCCGAGTCTCCAGTGCGTGGGAGTGAGCAAGTCAGAAGGTGAGGGCTGGGGGCGCAGGGAGGGGCGAGGAGGTGTAGCAGAGGGAGCAGCATGAGAGGTGCAGAGGTGAGAGTGCATTCCCTCCCTGGTGAAATGGGAGTAGGGCAGCATTGGTGAAGGAGAGCGTGAGTCCCTGCATGTGAGATGCCGCATGGCCCCTGGTGGTCACCGTGAGTTCCGTAGCATTATCTTCTTTCTCCATTGTTGCTTTACTAAGCAAATAGAACCAGATCTTCACTCAGTCTGCAAAGCCTCTGGAGAGCAAGGGCTTGCTTCAGTTTGTTCCCCTACACAGTGCCTGGCACAGAGAATGCCTCAGAAAATATTTGTGGGTGTGTCTGCAGCTGTAATAGAAGTGAAAGAAAGAACATGTATGATGCTTTTTCAAAGTTGAATTCTGTACAGTTCCCACCCTCAAGCAGCTCATAGTCACATGGAGTTTGGGACATGTACAACTTATGGCAAGGCAGGAAATGATTAATATCCTGAGAGGTTTTCAGAAGACGTTAGGCCAAGATTAGGAAAATGAGAACTTTGATCTTGGGGCCAGGGATGGTGTCATGGAGAAGGTGGCATATGAGGTGGGTCTGGGGGACATGGAGGAGGAGATGGAGGACACCCCCTGGCTATCTGCGCATTCAGGATTTGAGTGGGCACACGAGGATGGAGCTGTTGGTCTTGGTGGTGAGGGGAAGGAAGAGATTGTCCTGGCCCCACAACATGGTGAAGCTTCAGATGCTCCATCCTTTGTTTGGCCAGTATCAAGTTAGTAAGAATGGCTAGGAGAGCAGCTGTCTTCTCTGCTGAGTTAACTCAGCTCTGACAAGCTCCCTGGGTATCAGGCGCAGGGTGGCCATCTTCACCTAGACTGAGCCCTGAAGCCTGTTCACCAGACTGAGCACCAGGAATGCAGCTTCTCTGGCTCCTGGGCCTGTCTCTGTTGTGGCTTGGCCAAGGGCACGGCTCTGAAATCACACCGCATCGCAGTGCAGCTCTGCCGCTGCCCTGCTCTCAGCAAAGCCACTCGACCTTACTACTCCATTAAAAATAAAGTTGCCAGGGCCCGCCCCGTGGCTTGGCGGTTAAGTGTGCGCACTCCGCTACTGGTGACCCGGGTTCAGATCCCGGGCGCGCACCGACGCACCGCTTCTCCGGCCATGCTGAGGCCCTGTCCCACATACAGCAACTAGAAGGATGTGCAACTGTGACGTACAACTATCTACTTGGGGGCTTTGGGGGCTTTGGGGGAAAAAAGGAGGAGGATTAGGCAATGGATGCTAGCTCAGAGCTGGTCTTCCTCAGCAAAAAGAGGAAGATTAGCACGGATGTTAGCTCAGGGCTGATTTTCCTCACAAAAAATAAAAAAAAAAAAAGGTGCCAGAGGCAGAAAGCAAAGGCCCGTGGGGGCACAGAGCAGAGGGCAAGAAGGATAACTGAGGCCGACCCGTGTTCCTACATGCTCTCACAGTCAGTCATCACAGTTGACTTGCATACTTGGAGTTCAAATGAATGGGGTGGAAAAGTCAAGCCACAGGCAGCCTAGCTGTTTGTTGCATTTTTATTGTCTTCCTGAAGCACCGATGCTCAGGGTCTTCCAGCAGTGCCGTATTGCTCCGTGCTGGAAAAGGGACTCAGGGGTGATTCATGGAGATGGATCAGAGATTTCTTTACAGACACCTTACTAGACACTTGCCTTTGGCTGTGTCACTTTTCTGACTTAAGTTCAGTATGATGTTATCCTTAAAGTGTTTGTTCTCTCATAGTTTGAACAAGAAAATCAGCGCCTCATTGGTGAAATGAACAGCCTGTTTGACGAAGTGAGGTATGTATGTAGTTCCTTTGTGAGTTGATGGCCTAGTTTACAACTTTTCTAGAAACTAGGAGCTTGATTAATTTACTTTGGTACCCAGGCATCCACGTGTGGCCCTTGGGGGGCGTGCGGGGATGCTGCCCGGATTCATGGACTCTCCTCAACTTGTGGGCCTGTAGGAGGTAACCCCCTGCTGCTGCTACAAGGCACCCAGGTGCTGTACCACCCGAGAAGATCACTTAGTGATTGCAGATTGATCACCAAGTATAATTACCACCACCATTTGGGGGGCTGTTTACACTTGATTCCTCTTAAGATGAAATGGAGGCCTTTTGAAGGACGGCTGACAAAGGGAAACCTCCTCCTGCAAATGGCGCCACTTCTGTTGCTGCCTGTGCTGGAACCGTGGTTGACTTCAGCCCGTGCCGCCATCTGTGTCTAGCCACACACCACCTCCTAGCCCACCCCCAGGGTCACCCGTGCTGCCCCTGAAACAGGGGAGAGCTCAGACACTCAGTGGCTGAACCCAGATATATTTTTCAAAGGTAATCAGAAGAGTTCTTTGTCTTGGTAGGGAGTGGGTTTGAGTGGTAAATATACTCTTTCCCTTAACCTGCTGAGCAGTAACAGAGTTGGGTCATCAGCGTATCCTGAGGTTTTCTTTTGCATCCCCACCATGTGTTACTGTGGTTACTAGGCTAGGCACGGGCCTTACTATTAGGAGACTGTGCCTTATGTAACTGGGATGTGGCCGTGTGCTCCTGGCCCCACGCACTGACTCAGAAGGCAGGGGCACTGCGGGTCATCTTACACGGAAGGGCACATTTCCAAACAGTCCAGGGTGCCCCACTAAGCTGGGAGACATTAAAGGGGAATGGGAAGTAGAATGAACCTTCCTCTCCCCATCTCCTCCTTCCCTGAGCTTGACCTGGAGTCCTTTCCCTCTCTCATGGGTGACATGGTGTCCCCTCCGTCTCTCGCGGGTGACATGGTGTCCCCTCCGTCTCTTGCGGGTGACATGGTGTCCCCTCCCTCTCTTGCGGGTGACATGGTGTCCCCTTCCCTCTCATACTTAGGGGAGAGAGTTTCTTTAGAAATGTGTGACAGTTCTGTTAAGATTACCAGGTCCTAATAGTTAATATGTAATCTATTTTTTTATGAAGGCAAATCGAAGGGAAAGTGGTTGAAATTTCCAGACTCCAAGAAATATTCACAGAAAAGGTTTTACAACAGGTAAGACAAAGATAGTCGTTTTCAGTTTTAGCTTAAAAAAGGAATATATGAAGAACTCAGGACATTTCTTCTGAAGTCTTCTGACCTCTGCAGCCCTGTGCCCAGAGCCAGGTGCTGTTGCCCAGTGTGCTGTCATCGAGCTGCTTGGTGGGAAGCCCCTCGTTCCCCTGGCGCGGCCTTTGCATGTGAGGGGAGCTCTCCACATGGGAGCCGCTGGCTGGCACGGGTTGGGACCCGTGGCTGCCCCGTGCAGTGGGGCACACAGAGGAGGCAATCAGGTAGGTGTTGGTTCTGGATGCCTTTGGGTAAGCTGGGTAGCCTCTGAGCATGGCTCTCCCATCTATAAAATGGAGGGACCCTTGCAGGGCCGTTGTAAGGTTCAGGGGTAACCCATGGGAAGTGCCCCACACAGTGCCTCATGGGTAGTAGCTTTTCAATAATAGTGTTACAGGAGCTCAGACTCAGCCCTCTCAAAATGCCGGGTCCATGCTACCTCAGGTGTAGTGTCCTCACAGGAAATGTGATGGTTCTCGTAAGTGGATTTTCATGTTATTTCTCCCTGCCTGCAGTTCTGAAATTCCTCCAGCCAGTAACTGGCAGAATTTTTAGAGACCTGATAAATTTGCCCTTTTTTAAGCATCCACAGACTGTGGAAGGGTTTGAAAGACAAAATCATTTTTCTCCATTGTGTTTAACTGGGCTAGTTGGCTTAAGATACTCCATTCACAAAACTTCCCCTAAACCACACAGCTAGAGTCAAATCATTGTAAATTAGGCACAGTAAGTCTAACAACAGTTTGGAAGTTCAGGTTCATAAGAGTTGCCCTTTTTAATAGCACATTGAAGGAACTACTCAAGCGTGTGTGTGCTAATAAGCCTTCATGTAGCAGCCTGATGACTGTCAGTTCAGGCGCCTGACACATAAAACCGTTCAGTCAGATGTCGCCCTCTCAGATCACATGACTTGTTTCCAGAGGCAGCTCCACATGGTAGGAAGAGCTCAGAGGCCAGGGGGAGTCCGACAGATGGTTCTGATCTGGGCTCCCCATCATGCGTCGTGTCACCTGGGGCTCTCTTGAGCCCTGTTCCCCTCTGCAAAATGGGGCAGATGTCCCCTGCCTCACTCTCAGAGCTCGTGAATAGGAAGTGCCTGACACGCCTGGCACGCAGCAGGCTCAGTGCGTGGGAACTGTTGTTACTTCTGGTGTGGCTGTGACAGACCTGGGTGCTGTACTGTGTCACCAGCACAGCCAGGAGCCACTGGCAAAGGGAACTTGACCACCGTGTACCTTGTGTGCACTGAATGCTCTGAGGTCTTGCTTGGCAAAATGCAGTAAAAGTCAGAATCGCACCGATCCTTGTGCTCCTCCACTCAGCCCAGCTGCTCAGAAGTACCGATGGCCGTTCCATCAACAGCTGGTTCTTGGGCAGGACGTGGATTCTTGGTTGGGAAGTAGCTGTTCCAGAGCCCTGGGCGTGCGCCCGAGCAGGCAGAGGAGAGCCGCTCGCCCCACGGCCCTGCTTCCCACCACCCCAGCAGCTCCGGGCGCTCCACCTGGGGAAGGTGTGCAGAGCGTGGGCGGGAGCCTCACCTGGCTTCTCAGGAGTTTCTAAGACCTGAGAAAAGTTGGGTCAGTCTTGCTGTTTTCATCTATGTTGCAAGGTTGTTCATATCGACTTCTTTCATAGAACATTGGCAGCGGTCAGTTAGCTCCCACTTTGAGATTCTCCCAAAAAGTATGATTCTCAAGCAAAGCAATCGCCAGCCCTTATGTCCTTAGACTACGTAACATTCGTAGGAGTGTTGCTAAGAATCAAATGGCTAAAGGTTGCTTTCCTCGCTGCAGTTCTGTATCAGTCAGTCTTCTCTAAAACCCTCCCCTCACACTCCCCTCCCCCCACCGCCTAAAGGGAGGGAAGAGAGAGACCCCCTGCTCCTGAGACCCGTCTGGCATTGTTTACTACCTATGGAATTGTGGGTGCTTATTATAAGCCAGATGTTCCGTGTATAAGACCAGGATCCCATAGTTCTGAAGCTTTCCCAGTGTTTGGAGTAAACGTTTTTTGCAAACATCCTGCATTCCATTTTGATTTTTAGATTTTAGCCTTTTTTTTAGAGATCTGATGGTAAAACACAGAGCACTTTTCTGAAGCCAGTGTGTGTTTGAAAGCACATGCGTTCTGAAGCTGACTTCTCTGGACTTCATGAGGAATACATCAGAGACTAGAGGGAAAGCCCCTGGCATGTGGTGGCTGCTCTGCAACCGGCAGCTCATATGTGTTTGTCCCTTACTGTCTGGCGAGCGGCACAAGAGAGGCAGCAGCTGAGGTGGAAGGGACATGGGCACTGGGGTCCAATCCCAGTCCTACCACTTGGTTGCTGTGTGACTTTGGGAAGTTATTAAACTTCTCTGGGCCTTAAGTTTCCCTTTTGTAAAATGGGGGTGTTGCCTACCTTTCGGAGTACTGTGAGGATTCCTGGGTTCATGTGTGTAAAGCCCCAGCCCCTTAGTAAGTGGCAGCTACTGGTTTATCATGATGTATGCTTGGGGGAGGAGGAGGTGGCTGTGTTTATCTGCCACTCTTGTCTTCCACAGGAAGCCGAGATTGACAGCATTCACCAGTTAGTTGTAGGGGCAACTGAGAACATCAAGGAGGGCAATGAAGACATCAGAGAGGTGGGTACTCTTTGGGCCCCTGAGTCTGATTTGACATGGCACTGATTCCAGGCAGTAGCATTAGCCTCGCTGGCAGGGCTCATCTCGCAGCTGTGTGCTAGACGGTGACATTCTGTCCCTGCCATGCCCAGGTGCCCACTGTTACCAGGAGGCAATGGCTCACCGCCCTCCACAGGAGCGACCTAGGGCACATGGGGTCACTCTCGGCAAGGGTCGAACCGGCTCCCTAAACAGGGGTGGGTGCCACTGGAGAAGCTTGTTGGACCCCTACTGAGGGCCAGAGCCCTGGCTGCTGTTTATGGAGGCCACCAGTTGTCTCTGTTGAGGGGACTTTGTCTTCTGAGTGCGGTCCTTGGGTTTGGGTCGACGTGGGACTGTTCCTGGGCAACCCCTGCCATCACATTGCTGGGAAACACTGCTCAGACGCAGTGCTCTGAGCCTACACATGTGGTTTTAACCCTGGGACACACGTGAGCCATTTCTGGGGTGTTGTGTTTCCCAGGAGAATTGTGTAAGACCTCTAAATAACGGCTAACTGTGAGGGAAATACAACCCGTTTGTCTTCTGATGGATTTTAAACCCACTTTTTGGTTTTGCTTAATCATTAAGCCATCTATTCAAGGTAAGCATAGGATTGAGGAATACACAGAGATATAGCCAAGATAGGGAGAGTGCATGCAAACAGAGGAAGCATTTGAGGGTCTTTCAAGCCCAATCCTGTGTGATAAAAACACCTGTGCTCTTGTACCCTCCCCAGGCCATTAAGAACAACGCCGGCTTCCGAGTGTGGGTCCTCTTCTTCCTGGTGATGTGCTCCTTCTCCTTGCTCTTCCTCGACTGGTACGACAGCTAGGCTGGGCGGCCGTCTCTGCTGGCCGCGGGCAGTGGGGATGCGACAGGAATTTCTGCCCGGTCGCTTCTGGCAAACAGTGCACTGTCTTGTGTCTCTAGCCTCGGAGTGTGGTTGTGACCGGATTTTATCACAGAGCCATTGGGTGGGGGACTGAGACAGACATACTCTCATAAAATGGACGCCCAAACCTGTGGTTTTAAGCCTGTTTAGTAGCTGAAAAAGAAAACAGTGAACACAAATAGAAAGTGGTCTGTATGGCAGCAACCATGAAGCAAGATGGGCGACATGGAGAGGGGCTGTTGATAACTGCACCTACAACTGGAGGCTGCAGTGGAGAGGGGCTGTCTTCCAGGGGCGGGGCTGGGACAGTTCTTCCGCTCGGAGAACTGTCCAGGGCTCAGAGGAAGGCACCGGCCTTTCCCACTTGGTGGCTTGAGGGAAGAGCACTAGTTAATAACTTCTCACAACAAACCATCACTTCTTTGTTTTCTGTGGCTTCTTGTCTGCCTGAGCCAACTAGAAAATAAAACTCACCTTTGCCTTGTTAATCTAGTAAATATGATTACAGCCACTTAACATATTGTCAGTGGGTCCAAGTTTAGAAATTCACTAGGCACCCACCTGTCTCCTGTCAGGGAAGAAGTGTGGGGACAGACTCTGGGGCACTCAGCAAGGGGCCGCCAGGCCTGCTCCTCCCAGAAGTGCTCCCCCGAACACCTTCCTGACAGGGCACGCAGGGGGCATAGGAGGCCTGACTTCCTGCCACTGGGGCCCAAGGAGCTTTTGTTCAGAGAAGCGACTGGGCCTGCTGCTCTTGGGCCTGTGCGTCTGACCCTCTAGGAAACGTAAAGAGGAATGCCTTTTTGTAACTGGAAGCACAAGACATCTGCAGCCACATCTGTGCAGAAAGCATCCTGGTTGGTGTTCACAGGGCCCCACCTCACGTGGGTGTGGATGGCTCTGCACTCCTTGCAAAATGCGTGTGCTGTACAGACAGTCCGTCAGGCAGCCACAGGGGTCCTTGTGTTCTTTATTTGCACAGAGTGAAAATGCCAAAGTTACATGTGAATGAATTTACAGTCAATAAAGTACACATCTGCTAGAACATACAAATAGGGGTGGCCTTGGCACTGTGTTTACATGAGCTGACTTCATTTATAGATCTGTCTATGCAGGAAGAGTTCTGGCACGTAGTTATTGCTCTTTATGCATTCCCCACAGCTTCACTGCAGATGACTTCACAGCACATGACTTTCTGATGCACACCCAGTGCTCTGAGGTGATGGTCATTGATAATAAAATATAGTTTATGTTTTGGAAGCACATTTCAGGATACAGTAATGGAGCTAAAAATGATCACCATGCTTGTTCGCAACAGATCTTGCACTATTTGTCATTTATTTTTTATCTACTAAAAAACAGTGAAACTTTTGACATGTCCACCAGAAACAACACATTCAAATAACATGGAAGAAAATGTCTGTGAATGTCTTTTCTATTTAATTGACTTACACACTTAGTTGACCTAACTGGCAATTTTGTAAACATATACTTTAATGTCAAGATTCACGTTGAAACATAATTTTCTTACAAAGATTGTGACTTGAAATGTCATAATAGGATATGAAAGGTGCCACAACAGCCCCCCCCCCCCACCAGCCTTTCCTGCCTGTTTCTTAGAGCAAAGCAGTTATATCCATTTCACAAAATAAAACTTAAAGGAGCCTTGGCTGACCAGCAATTACATTTTCACTTTTCCCACCTAGCTAATTCTTTAAAAACTGACTTGCTAACAGGGCTATCAGTGCAAATTTATTCATAATCAAGTGAACAAAAGGGCCAATGGGGTTTCGTTGCTATTCGGCACATCACAGAGCAGACGGACTACCTACAGAGAAGGGAGTTCTGTAGCCTGCAGCCGGGGGTCGTCTCTCTCCAGAGTCCCCTCGCCTCCATGCTTTTTGACATGGTCTGCATGCACTCGAGTGGAAACACAGCCTTCTCTACCCAGGGGAGCCCTCTGTACCAAGATGCCAACGCCAGAGGAGACTGAGTGATGTTCTGTCGACAGCAGTAACAGAACCACCCAAGTGTGCCTGTAGCAGGGCACTTGCACACTTAGGACTGAGCACAGGGAAGGAGAGGGTGCATCTGCTGCCCGCTGTCATTTCTCCTTCCTCCTTGACCCCACTCACTAAAGTGTGTCTTGGCGATGGGCACTGTGGCCATCTGACAGCAGGTGGAAGAAATGGGAAGTACAGCTTGCTCAGAGCAAAGCAAGGGGTCACTCTAGATATGGCTCTGGAGCAAGATTTGCAAACAGCAAGGGGGCTTTTAAAAAATCAGTTCCACAAAATGCATTATTTATCTGAAGTCCAAACTCCTTGCATCTCCATTGTAAATTTATTTTTTGACAGCATCCAATAAATCCCAGTAAAGTAGCTAAATTAAGATTCCTTAACATGAAAGGTGGTGTCGGAGCTCTTTAAGCAATGCTGATATGCACTTGATTTTATGCCCATGGGTGGTCTGCAGCAAGTTTTATTTGCAAAGCAGCATTAGCAAACAGAAGCAGTTGCACCATAAATGAGTAACCTCTAAATTATCAGTAATTATATTTAATGAAATGTCCCTCAAAGTCCCTTTGTTACTTTCAAGTGACACATTGTAAGGAACTTGCCCATCTCGCTAGGCTGACTTCTCAGCGGCTTCAGTCTCCTGCTCTGACAGCTTCTCTTCCGACAGAACGGACATCCACGGCGACACTGAGCGGGTGATGCTCTGCTTGGCCAGGTTGTAGTGGTTTATGACGGTGTAAAATTTCCCCCGGGCATTGGAGTCTTGCTCTGCATAGTAGCTCTCCAAGCCTTCTGGAATGCACTGGGTGTTCTGAAAGACAAGAGACCATTGAGACACATTCATCGATGCAGGAGGGATGCCAGTGTGTGTCCAGTTAACACCCAACAGGTACTTCCTGAGCACCTTCCCTGGGCTCGGAGGAGAAATACAGAGAGAAGCAAAAGTGGGCATGGATCCTGCCCTCAGGGCACCGCTGCTGATTAAATCACAACAGAATAGACATCTTTAACAAGGCCATGACGGAGTGGCACTTGGGCTCCAAGGCCCTGTGTGTAATGGAACAACAGGCCTTCCTACTTCACTGAAGATCTTACACTAGTTGTCATTTATTTTAAATCTACTAGAAAACAAACTTCTGACATGTCCACCAGAAACAATATATTCAAATAGCGAAGGAAGGGAAGTCAGAAAGGCTTGCTGTGAGCTGGCTCATTAGTGGACCTCAACCAGCTGAGGGGATGGTGAGCTCTTGAGGCAAAGGAGACAGGCCTGGGCAGGAGACTGAAGGAAGGCCAGTGGCTAGAGCAGAGGAGGAGCACGGTGAAAACGCTGGAAAAGAAGGCAAGGGTCAGGGGGTCAGGCCACACAGGACCTGCAAGGTCCTGTCAGGGAGTGTGAGTGTGACCTTGTGATCCAGAGCACAGCAAGAAGTCACTGAGCACCAAGACAGCACACGGGGGTGGCTGAAAATCCCTAAGGTTACATGTGGAATTCTGTTCTGGGCATTTTGGGGAGAGACCAGTCCATAGTTCTCATCAGCTTGTCAGGGGCCTGGGACCCAAGTCTGCCTCTCCTCATCAACCCAGGATCCACGACCGCAACTGATGCTGGGGAGCACACACTGTCTCAACACATCCACCAAGCCCCCAGGGAAGCTGCGGCGGGGTTGGGAATTGTCTTCGACCACCTGCTCTCCCAGAGTGAAGTGGGCATGTGGTACCCAGCTAAAGATCACATTTCTCAGCCCTCCTTGTAGCCAGGTGAGGCCATGAGACTGACTTCTAGCCAAAAGGATGCGAGTGGATGTGACAAGAGCAGGTTCTGGGCTGGGCCCTTAAAGGGAAGCACCTGCCCTCCACTGCTCCCGCAGCCCCATCTTGCTGGCTCTGACTGCCCAGAGAAGGACAGCATGGGGAGGAGGGGGCAGGGCAGCAGAAGACAGAACTGGGCTCCAGGAGGATCTCTCCAAGCCCTGCTGCCTTCCAGCGGAGGCTTTCATGTGAGAGAGAGAGAAACCTTCCACCTTGTGGAAGCAACCAAAGCATTACATGAATGTCGGGCTCCTCCTCAGATAGTCAAGTGAGACTGCACTTAAGACGGCCCAGGCCTCAGCCAACTTCACAGTCACCTGGAAGAGGTTCAAAACCCAGATTCTCAGCCCTACCCCTCAGAGTCTGACTCAGCACATCTGTGCTGTAGCAATCCGTATTTTTAAACATCTCCCAGATGAGTTGGAGGCTCTTGCAGCATCTCGGCCAAGGCCGCTTTGCTGGCAAGTGCAGAGCCAGGATTTGAAGCCTGTGCACCATCCACAGCACCACAACCAGCTGCTGGGGCTCAGCAAGAAACCCTTTAGTTTCCACTGCAGCTGCTCGGAGCGTTCGTTTACCTCCTCTGGGCAGGCACAGTGTGGAACTTGACAGGATCTCTGATGATGTCTCCAGGCATCTCAGACAATCGCTAGGATGGCTTGTGGGGGCTGCTGCACCGTGGACGTGGGTGCCCCCCAGGGAACCTCCGCTGGGAGCGTCATCTGTGCCTGAAAGATTCTTAAGTCTCTGAAAGGTCAGGGCAGGTGGGCTCTGCACCCCAGGTAACGGGCTGCTCCTTGAGGTCTTCCTGCAGGTTCTGGGCCCATCTGTCATTTGCTTGGCAGCGAAGGAAAAGGACTGGGCTTCTGCCGCCCAGGCCGTTGTTTTCCTCCCTGACCTCCTCCTTGTAGCTGACAGCTTGCCCCGTCGGTGCACATTCTCAGTGTGAGGTGGGTGCCGTTAGTCCCATTTCCTAGACGCGGCAAGTGGGACTCGGTGGTGGAGCAGCGCTCCAGGGTCCCCCAGGGGAGTGTGAGAACCCAACTCCAGCCGAGGCCTCCTGGTCATAGTGCTCCAGACCCCACACCACGTCACCCCTGAGGCTGCCCACTCAACTCAAAGACAGAACAGTGAGAAACCTAGGCGATGAGTCCTGCCCCAGGGCGATGGGGCAGACTGTTTTTTTTCTGGAATTGACCACCGACAGCCTTGAATTCAGCCACTGTTGATCAAATCCCAGCCCCAGCGCACACAGGCCTCGGGAATGACCCGCAGCCCTCCTGATGCCCAGCACCTACTGGCTTCCACGGCCCACCCCCATTACT